CCTAATTATAGTTCGGCCTTGAGGAGAAGGCATTCTTAATTATATGATTTTTCCAACCTTTACAAAAATACTGTGATATTGATATGAACAGACAGAGATGGCTTCACATCACATCCTTTTCGCCTTATCATTTGTAATCCTTCTGTAACCCAAGACATTACTCGTGAATAATCAACCTGTTGCTATACAATGTGTAGTGGGCAGTGTCCATAAGTCCCGTTTCTCTCGGAACAGTCCCGTCTTTACTGTGTCCTGGTGTCCCCACATATGATCACTGGACGCATATAAGCCCCTTTCTATGTTACTCACAAGAAATCTCAGATTAAGAAGCATTTACATTTTCTGCTGAACTGTAAATTTTCTGTTTAAATTGGTCGTCAAGATGGCGTAATATTCCATTACATGAACGCTAACTGTCATCCAGTAAAAAAAAATCGTTTGTGTTAGATTGATCAGTTCTTGCATTGATGAAGCTCTTAATATCGAGTTATAAAACACACACTTAAATCCATTGTCAAGAACATGTAACCGGAAACATGACTGACATGCCTGAATTTATGTAGTCAGTTTTATTGTGTTTTAACATTATTGAAACGTTTCTGTTGTGAAGAAGTAAAAGAAATTGAATAAAACATGAAGATTATAGAAGTAACTACGAAAATGGTTGTCTGTGTGTTTAAGATGCTTACTTACGTATCACATCCTCTTTTCCACACGATTTGATTTGATCGCTGTGCGCATGCTCACTGAATGCTACTTGTCTCGGGTTTCTTTGGGGGCGGGGGCTGCTGATTTATGGGCACCCTATTCCTCGTCCATAACTGCTACTCACTTACTCATGGAGCTAAACCTTTCTTGTGAAGCCGCCAATTCTGCAGATACTCAAGAATTTCCCAGCATTTTATGGAACCCGAAGGCTTATTACCGTGTTCACAAGAGCCCTCCACTGGTCCATATCCTGAGCCAGATCAATCCAGTTATTACCATCCCATCCTATCTCTCTAACATCCAAATTAATATTGTCCACCAACCTACGCCTTGGTCTTCCCAGTGGTTTCTTTCCTTCGGTCTCTCCCACCAATATCCTATAAGCATTCTTCTTCTCTCCAACTCTTGCTACATGGCCTGCCCATCTCATCCTCCTTGACTTGATCATTCTAATTATACTTGGCGAAGAGTACAAGTTATGAAGCTCCTCATTATGCAGTTTACGCCAAACCTGCTGTGACTTCATCTCTCTTCGGTCCAAATATTCTCCTCAACACCCTGTTCTCAAACACCCTCAGTCTATGTGCCTCTCTTAATGCCAGAGACCAAATTTAACACTCATACAGAACCACAGGAAAAATTATAGTTTTGTATATTCTAATTTTCATGTTTTCGGACAGCAGACGAGAAGACCAAATTCTCTGGACTGAAAGATAGCAAGCATTACCCGAGTTCAATGTCCCCTCAATTTCATGAAAAGTTAAACAGTTCCGTCAAGTGTGACTGGTGTAGATTTTTCTTATTTCAATTATTTATGCCCTTACAAATCAAATCCTCTTAATTTCCTTCTGTATCAGGTTTCGATCTGTTATCGTTGTTCCCAAATATCTGAACTGTGCCACATTTTCAAAACATCTGTTTCCTATCTTTATGTCATGATTTTGCCCTGCATTTTGGTGACGAGACAGCAACATATACTTAGTTTTCTGTGTTCGCTTATAGATCAACCTCCTTAATAACGTTAATTAATGTTCGTGTGTTTTTCTTTATGGTATCTTTATGGTATATGATATCTTATTACTAACAAATTATACGCTCTTAACTACTGATATCATTTTCTTATATACGAAAAAACCTGTGCCTAATTCATAATTATCATTCCCCTTTCCATAGAAAAATGTATATTCGCCTGCTGATTCTGTGCCACCTCCGTCCCGTCTGATCGTCCGTGTTTCCGCTAAATGTTACTTATATTTTGATATTTCTTCCCGCCACTGCCCCAGCTCACTTGCTCTGTACGTATTTCTAACATTCCAAGTACCAAATTTAATATCCATTGTAGCTTTAGTTCCATGAGTAATGAATACATGAAATTTTATATAGTCCATTTCCTTTTATTAAACCTAAAATTTTTTAGAATACGATGCAACTTACCATTTAAGTATATCTAGTTTATTTCCTTATATTGATTACCTGTTAAAACTCCCACATGTTTCTGTCATGCAAAAACATCTTCAGGGGTGTATCCTATTAAAGAGAGACTTTACAATTCATACATAAAAATATATAATATTTAAAACAGCCGTGTCATAAATTCCTTATAAAAGTCAGTACTAATATTATGCTAAGAGTCATGTAGGCTATATAAGCCGTAGTTACCCCAGTTCAGTTTACTGTGGTTTGTCATGTTACTTTTCATGTTTCTGTCTCATGCTCGTTTTTTACGTCACGAAGAAGTGCAATTCTTGCTTTGTATGTCGGACTTGGCAGGTGAAATGTTGGAACACAAGAACACATTCCATTTCATCTCGCTGTGTCTGCAGACTTTATAGACGTTCTGCATATGGTCATTAGCAGGTTTTGATGACGTCATCTTTTTTCCCCCCTTGTATCCTATTCGATGCCTGTAAATATATAAATTTCGGAGATGAGCTACTGGTTACAGAAATGTAACTTTTATAGGCCATTTTTCGTCATATTTAAGTTTTAGGAATTTTTTCGGTTTTGAGGTAATTTTTCGGTAAATGTTTGGACTTTTAAGGGTATTTTTTATCATTTTAGCCATTTTAGGGAATTTTTCTTCACATGCTTTCAGAAATGTGAATAATATGCAAGTAAAGTGCTCTGTCTCTTTCTCATGCCTCTAAACAGGCAGCCTGCAGCTGCACCCCAAGTTCCTGCTACCATAGTATGCGATAATAAGTTGTAATCATGTCCCGTCCTTTCCGTTCGTTTTGCGGAAAGTGCTGACATTACATATCATAAAACATTTTAAGCTGGCAGCAGGATAAGACAGCGGTCACTCACACTGCAGCCTTTCCAAGTTCTGTGCAAAGGAATTTGCTTAGTGACAAATATTTCTAGTCGGAATCCCTCGCTTTTTATGACATATTGTTGCTCAATAAAACTACATCTGTCTTCAGTTTCTCGCCTTGACCGTACACACAAAGATACAGTTGCCGAAAGGTTCTCAGTGTGAAAATTTCAGTTCTGTGTTGCACTAGAGTGATTCATTTTATCACGATTCCTAAAGCAAAGCCATCTAAATCCTGTCATATAAAGCAGATTGCAGCTTAGTTTGGAGATGATATAATTTCAACTGGCGGTAACATTTTATACTGTAAAAGGCGTGACACAAAGTTTGCGGCAGAAAAAGTTTCACTGTACAAAAACATATCGGCCGCAACAAGCATATACGAGCAGTGCAAATTTCGAACAAAACGTTCGTGCTACATGGCAAACGCCTTCATTGGAACCTTGGAAACTGATGGACCAGGTGAAGTGTTTCTGCTTACGAGTGAGGTGCTAGAGTCCGTTAATCACTCCACAGTTTGTAAACTCTTCGACAGGTCGATGTATCTACTGTGGCCAGAGGGTATACGTCACGACGACGTCTTGCTTTTTGTGACCGATGCAGCCCCATGTATTTTAAAAGCAGGCAAGTCAATAATGTCGTTTTATAGGAAATTAGTGCACGTTACTTGCCTAGAACATGGACTACATAGAGTGACGGAGGAAGTGAGATCAAGATTTCCTCAAGTGGATGCTCTCGTGTCATGGACAAAGAAGATTTTCGTCAAGGCTCCATCTCATAAAATGCAGTTTTAAGTCTATGGCTCCTGGTGTTCAACTGCCCCCGGAACCCGTCATCTCAAGGTGGGGAACGTGGATTGATGCTGCAATTTACTATTGCGATCATATTCAGGTAGTGAAAAACACTGTAGATTCATTGAAGACGGAGGATGCGAGGGCAATTGAAGCTGCTGAGGAACAGTTCTCGTGCAGCGAAATGGAAGCACAGCCGGCCTTCATAAAGGCAAATTTCAGTTCCTTGACAGAAGGAATCAAACGCTAGAATGCTAGAAGATTCGCTCGCTGTCGTGAAAAAATAGCCAGTGATTTGGAGTAAGTGTCAGAGGACATTGGTAAAATGGTGTCAAGAAAAATGAAAAACCTTCTGGATAAAATCTCAGGTTATGGAACATTATGCAGCGTTTCTCGAATTCTGACAGGAGAGTGCTTCAGCGCTTTCAGTACTGAAGAAGAACTTACTGCTAGTGACTTGGTACACTTCAAGTACGCTCCCACTGTGTCTGCAGATGTGGAAAGGAGTTTCTCCAAGTACAAGAATGTGCTGTCAGACAGTAGGCGCTCTCTCTTACCTTCGGGAATGTCTGCATGTTGACTGTCATCTATTGCAACTCTGAATGAGGTTGCACTTAAATTTTGGAATACATGCCGTATATGTACATTTGATAAGCGTTCTAACGCGGTAGAAAAAATTTGTATGAAGACATTTAGCTTCAATTTCAAATTGAGAGAAACTCAACAAAAGAAGAGCGATTCATATGCATTTGTTACACAGATCTGATATGGAGTGCATGTCAGTAAAACGGTTAACCGGTTTATGTCGTCATATTTACTGGAACTCTACATTTCACACACAAAATCGTGAAGTTATTTAGAATATCTTAATTATTTTTTAAGAAAGTTAAAAAGTTTTGGTATAAGAATTATGTCCTCAGAGTTTTAACTCGTTTATTCGTGCATATAATTTGTAGATTTTCTTCAATATCTCGTATTCTCCAGAAGATTGTCATTTATTTGCGAAATATTTGATAGTATTTAATCAGCACATGAAAATAAATTAGATAAACTTAGGTGATGACGTCACATCTAATGCAGGAAGTATGTCGACGAAGTGAATCCCATCTGATATTTGTCTAGTGACATGTCACGACGACATTAGCAGCACTAGGCACCCTTGCTAATGCCTGTTTCACTTCTTACAGTGGCAGTGGTGGTGGCGTTCTTCATCTGCTGGGCGCCGTTCCACGCACAGCGACTCCTGGCGATGTACGCCCGCAGCAACAACTCGGACAGTCCGGTCCTACTGACCGTGTACAAAACGCTAACCTACACTTCGGGCATTCTGTACTACATGTCCACTACAGTGAACCCCGTGCTCTACCACATCATGTCTCACAAGTTCAGGGAGGCATTCAAGGTAATGCCATTTTGCATTAAATGAATATTAACTGTACGGAAAGATACGTATATCTTCCTTCTTTTGTTTATTTCTCATTTTTGTTCTTAGTCCTTTTATTATTTAAGTTTCTTGTTCTTATTAACCCTTTCCTTTTTTGTTTTATTGTTTGTCTTGTATTTATCTTTGTTTCTATTTTATCTCTTCCATTTCTCTTATCCCTTCTCTTTCTCTTCCCTTATTTTTCTTATTTATTTACATATTAATGGTTTATTTATAGACCTTATTATTACGCATAATTTCCGATTTCAGTGGCTGCTCGGTCTAAAGCATGAACTGTCTCCGCTCGCTCGAACACAGGGATGGTGGGTTCGAATCTCACTCAAGATGTGGCTCTCTATGTGTGCGTTTATTCTGTGTCTGTGCTGTCCTGTGTGCAGGTAGCGGCCTTTCGACAGGCTGATCACTCATCCAAGGAGTCCTACCGTCTGTGTAAAAAAGATTACGAAAACTGAAGAAGAGACCATGACCCAACTAAGGGCTGTAGAGCCTTTGATGAATGAATGAAAAATGTGTATGCATAATTAGCGTAGAATGGCGGTATGAATTGGGAAGGACCGGGGAAAGAGCAGCCGTGGTGTAACTGGAGGCGAAATCCCTGACTTTGCCACGAATATCACAAGGAACAACACCAAAATGCAAGTCACAGATTTTACCACCTTCTGTTATTGTAGTGATGATTACTGTTATTATTGTGACGGAATATGGCCATCTACTAGACAACGGCTAAGTAAAAACTTGTTTCCGCACCAACGAATGTTAATGAAGGCAATCCCGTGACAACAGAGGAATTGTTTGACATTGTGACTTCTATCCCGCCCGCGTCATAGTTATAGAAGCCAGTGCATTCGTGAATTCAAGTAGAGATCAGTTCGAGATTAGTGAAACATTATTCATAGAGATTCGTAAGACAGATGTCGTTCAGAAAGTGTTCAATGTGTGAGCTGTTACAATTGGTCGTAATTGTAAAGAAGTGTCAGTAAATCCACTCAATCAATCCAGTACCCTTTTATTCTTCTCGCAAACACCGAAAATATTACATCATTATTTCGTGAATTATTTCACCAAATATAATGGTCGTAGGGCCCCCAGTTACTTTTCGGGATGTTCCGGGCATGAACCCTAAGCCCAGAGACAGGATAATCTGACTTAGGTTTCCCGTGCTTCTCACGCTGTTTTTAGGTACAGTTCTGTCACAACCGCTCCCTTCCGTGGCATTTCCAGTTAGTCATTTGTTAATCGCTGGACGCTGCATGATCTGAGATATTGAAATTGTCGTTATATAAACCAAGAACCAGCCTGTTCGTTTCTTTCCACTTAGGGCCAAACATTGCCTTGTGCACTTTTCTTTTTCTTACTGTTCAATGTGTATTTTAACGTAGTAACAGACTACGCCCCACAACCGCGAAGAAGGCTACTAAAACCATACACTAAGAGTTTGTAGTTCTACTGTAGCCAGCGGTGAGTTCAGGTATAGGCAAAGCAGGTCACGGACAGGGGCCCCGAGCGGGGCGGGTATGTAACTTGTCTAGCATGAGAGGTTGGAAGGCCCCTAAGACAGCAGTGTCAAACATGCGGCCCCCATAGCCACAAAGTGCGGCCCCTCAACTTTTAGAGTTAATTGATATTAAAATCAATATTAAAATTTTAGTAGAAATATTTTTTCTAAAGACAATTTTCCAACAGACCAGAAGACAAGAAGTCTCACCCAGACATAAATTAGCAGGCTGCAGGAAATTCAATGTTTTGCTATTTCTAACATAATTTCTTGTGTAATTTCTCTTTCTACATATTGAAAAGTTGTTTGATACTTGTCAAAAATGGAATTCTCTTGCTTTTTAAAACTGTAAGATATGTGACTTTAGGTAATTATATTGAAATTATTCCTAAATAATAAATAGAATTAAATTTCCTTGTATCAAAATCTAATGTATATTTCTATTTTGAAGTGCGGCCCTGGACTATTATTTATAGGGCTGAGGTGGCCCTCTGTACAAGTTGAGTTTGACATGCCTGCCCTAAGATGTTTAGGTGCAATAAAACAGTGTATTTTCCGCTCCGTCCAGTCTAAGGGTCTGTTTATCGTAGGCTGGAGAGAACTTACTCAAGGTGAGTCGTACACCGGCACCTCAAGAGTCCGTCAGTCCAGACGCAGCTGTTGCTGTTTGGAGTGATTGTTCTGGATGCGCAAGCTAAAAGCGAACCATGCCGGCAAATAACATCCTGGGCTTTGGCACGGCTTAACACGCAATCCTGAACTCGGCTCTGCATAGAGAAAACGTTCTGCTTCAGCCGCTCTACTCCCAGAGAAATAAACACCATCCCATTTGAATAGGATGCAGGATGTTTCCTAGACTCGATCGGGAGATGGTGACAAAGGGAGGACCCTGCCTCAAATGCTCTGCTATTGTCTGACTGAATCCTGAAGGCGGATATTGTGGAAGATAGGCGCAGCGCAGTAACTGTAGCACGCACTCCTTGAATGTAAAGTGGAGAACCTATTATCCGCCTTTGGAACTCACAGACAGACTGTTGTTTAAAGTTCTGCAGATGTTACGTTAAACTAATAGCAATATACGGCTAATAAGTTAGGAAAGAGCGAAGAGTGAAATTTGAGGATGAGCCAGGGAATAACTGTACTTGTTTAAAGTAATTCTGAAATGTTAGTACTGAAGGCCTGAAAGAAATATTTATAAGATGATACATTGGAAATGGTACAAAGTATCGCAAGTCCGAAAATCCTGTGTTTAACTGTAGGACAAATAAATCACGCCATTCTTGTGAGAAACAGTTTCGTTTCCTCAAACGTCGTTGTCTTGTTTAAAGGTGCGTGTTATGTATGAGTGTTAGCAAGGTCATCAACATAGACATAATGGTCAAGGCAGTGTTGACTACATGGATCGCGGAATGAGAACTGGATTCATCTGATCGTTTGTGGCACAATGGCTTGCTTACTGATTCCCTGGTTGCCTTAGATGGATTCATGGGTTACAGACTAACTGAAGGTCTAGTGACTAATTGACTGAGCGGTCATCTCACTACCTACCTTATTTGCAGACTGAATGCGGACATGCTTGTATAGATGAATAACTGACTGTTTAGTTGACTGCATTGCTGATTCTTTAGCTGGCTGTCCGACTGGCTGTCACTGACAGGTTGAGTCACTGCCTGGATGACTGGTCGCCTGACCGATTGTTTGACTACCTAAATGGCTGACTTACTGACTGGATGGACGGCAGGCGGTGAGATTATTGGGCTTGAAGACTGTCTGCATGGCGGTTTGGTTGACCGGTCAGCCTCACTTAAAATATTGATACAAACTCAATTCATCTTGGGCGAATGATACTGGGAATATGACGGGAAATGGAGATTTTAATCATGACTGGAACAGATTCCTCCAGAACATCTGCACCGAAGAGCTGTGTACATTGAAAGCCTTTGGAAGCAGTGAACCTAACCTGACAACCATTTGACCAGACTCAGAAACAACTGTTTGTAGAGGAGTCAGAATAAGCTTTTGGAAGAACTGAAGGATGATTGTGACTGATGAATTGTGATGGATTCTAGAAGTAGTTGTTACGTAGTAGAAAGAACTACCCCAACGTTTATATTAAATTTTCGAGAAGAACACAGATCAAACGTATGACAGTTACCTCTGCGATAATTTTACAATCCGAAAACTCCCAAACACTAAGACATTTAGAGCAGAAAGAATTCGGTGAATGCTTGCTACCGTTCAGTTCAGAATCTTTTATCTCTTCCTGCAGGTGTCAAATAGCCTGATGATTCAAATTCAGAAATATATAAGTTAGCTGTTGTTTTGTATGAATGTGAACTTTTGTCCATCACAACAAGGGAAGAACGTAAAGTGAGGATATTGCAAACGGTGGGGAGGAGGGCATTTGGAACCGAAAGCACGAAAGTGACGGATGAAAGGAGAAAACTGCATAATGAGGAGCTTCATAGAAACTCTGATCGTCTGGATCGTAAGGCCGTGTAATTAGGTAGAACTCCACAGACATTTCGGAAGACCATATCTAATTCATTCTCAGGCTCGACGTGTAAGCTAAGCAATAGATCAGCGATCAGAAGGGACTGAAATCTAACAACAGTTTCATAATATGAACTTTTCATCGAATATTAGTAAGTAGATAAATTCGTGGAGGATGAGATGTAACGCACGTGAGAGAAGGGAGAAATAGAGAGTTTAGGAAAACCTGAAGGAAGAAGACGGCTTGAAAGATATAGGCAAGGATGGAACATAATATTAAACTGAGTCTTAAAGAAATAGCACGTGATAATGAGAATTTGATTGGCTGGATAGTGTGAACTTGTACTGGTGAGCTCTTATGAACGCTGTAATAAGAGGCGTGAAATTCTCACGAAGAGAAGAATCTTCACTTCTCAGGAAGGACTGGGTTTCATGAAGTTAGTTAATTTAGAGACTGTTCTAGAAATGCGATTCTGTATTTCAGCAGTTGTTTAACTTAACGTCCATGTCAACAAGTGTTGCAATATTGACGGACGATAAATACATGGACGTTAGAAATACGATACTTTCATTTTCAATAACGTAAGTGAAGTAGTCTGTGTTTATTCCCCGACCAAAGAAAATTCTTCTTCCCTGTCATATGTTATCGGCTGTTCACACGCAGAAAGTGGAGTGGCTGTCTCTTCTGAAAGGCGTCATATCTGAAGTAAAGGTTTGACTCTTTGTCATAACTAAATGTGGTGTTTAGATATGAAAGAACTAATATTATATTTAAGCATCCTGTTACACTCACACAATATATGAGACAAACTCCGTCTTAAGTGCAACAATTTAATTGTAGTTCTTTCTTCTTTCCTTCCTCTACACTACATGTTTCGGCAGCGGCACACGCACAGAGAGCCTACACAGAACAATACCTAAACAGCGATAAAACAAGAAGTGGCCGCTGCAGCACTATAGACATAGTGGG